AAACTCCTGTCTTTGGACTCAGCATCACCTTGTCCTGACTTCTGTTCATTTGATTGCAAGTGAACAGTGATGCACGCTGCTTGGAGCAGCATCCCCACCAATCTATGGGAAGAGAGTTTATCAGTAGTCTCTATCCCTGGAGGAGGGCCCATTGGTGAGTCTTGAGAGAGGTGTCATGAGGTCAAAGGAGAATGGAGCAGTTAAAAAAAAAACCTGCAAACCACCAATTTTAGCACTTTGTTTTACTTCACCTCTCCTAATCCAATCCACTGCATAAATATATATATATGTATATACATATATATGTATATATAGAGAGTGAGAGAAAGAAAGAGAGAGACTCACTATGCAGCCCTGGCTGACCTGGAACTCACTGTGTAGATCAGGCTAGCCTGAAATTCATAGAGTTCTGCTTGTCTCGGCTCCTAAGTGCTAGGATTAAGGGTATGTGCCACCATGGCCCAGCCTATATGCATATCTTAACTCCGGAGTCCATCCTCTCCGCCCCATTCTTGCACTATCCCAGCTCCAAGCAGCATGCATCACTCTTCACCTGCACTCAAATGATATTGTCCTAAAGGGCCATCCTCCAGTGTTGCTCCCTCTTCAGCTTAGTCTTCACACTGTAGCATTGTAGAATAATCTTTGAAAATCAGTCCTTTACCCTTTCTTCCTTTTTTTTTTTTTCGAAACAAGATTCCCTGTAGTCTCAGCTGGTCTGGCCTGCAACTCGCCATGTAGACCAGGCTGGCTTCAATCTTACAGAGATCTGCCTGTCTCTGCCTCCCAAGTGCTGGGATTAAAGGCATGTGTGCCACCATTCCTAGCTCAGTTCCTTCTTAAATCCACCAATGGCCTCTTATCGCACACCTCCTGATAAAGCTCAAGACTCTCCGAGTGTCAGAACATATGTTTCCTGCCTCCCCTGATGCCCAGTGACACAATACTCTCTAGTCATCTGCAACCACAGCCGTCGTTGCTGCACATCTTCCTGTCAGTTCTTGTATTATCTCCAGAATTTCAGAAGTGATCTTGGTCTTTTAGGGTTACAGAACCTCAGATATTAAGAAACTATCTGATAGCATTTTTTTTTTCTGAAAGCTCCATCCTTCCTCCAACTCTTGATGTCTCTTTTATATGCCCAGGTGTAACTCTAATGGGGTGCAGTGAATTACTTTTGGGCTGGAAGCTCCTGGAGGGCAAAGCCTCATTGACCAAGTGGCTGGTAGCAAATATGGTACCTTTTTATAGATTGCAAGATGGCATGCCTCCAAACATGGGGATAAACACAAAAATCAGTGCCCTTTCTTTCAGCTGACACAATACTGCTCTGATGTTCATGGCTTGGTCAGTAAAGTATAGCTAGATTTAACTTCCATTTTCTCTCTCTGTCCAAGTTGTTTTTCACAGGTCACAATTTTACAAGCAAGAACAGCCCTCTACTTGGTTGTGTCTGCCTCCTTCAGTTTTTGGAGGAAGGGAGGTCATGGGCAGGGAGATAGACCAATAGGAACATCCTCTTCACTCCTGAAGCAGGGCTAAAGTGGGCCCCAGTCTCTTCAGGTAGATTCTGGAACCTCAAGTGAGGCTGAAAGAAATAGTAGCAGTTTCAGAGGGAAGGGGCTTCGGGAAAGGGGAGCCAGGTGGGACAGATGGCTGCAGTTTGAAGGAAGTCCTGAGTAGATAGCCAAGCTTCAATAGGTGACAGAGACTGATGGGGGAAAATGGAGGGGAGCTGAGGGGAGGTCTTATTCCAGCAGAGCCTATGCCATTTCCCCTAAGGGTGCAGGCTTGTTCTTTAGGGGTTCGCCCAGCTTTTCCTGATCCCTGATTGACAGATAGTCCTGCCAGATTCCAGCAGAAACTCAGATTGAAGTCTTATCCCTCTTTCTCCAGCAGGTGGCAGCTATGCCCAGGACCAAGTGCTCTCTATAGAGAGCTGGGCACCCGTTCCTCTCTGTGTGCTGGCAAGTCTGGGTCCAGGTAACTTAAGTTGTTGCTGTCCCTGGCAGGCTCAGAGGAAAGATTGATGGCACGGACATTGCTGGATCTAGCCGACACAGCCATTGATTTTCATTTAGGAGAATAATTAAATATTAATTTTCACTTTGTTAAGCTGAGGAGGGTGAATAAAGCCAATCCTAGCAGTATCAGAGGAAGCCAGACCATGCTGGAGGCCTGCAGATGGAAGGGAGGAAGAGAGTAGACGTTTCCAATTGTCGTCTTCTTCAGAAACTAAGACACATATCTGCCAGCGAGTTGGCTTACATAGTAGTGTAGTAGTTAAGTGAATAGAGTTCTGGGACCAGACTAACTAGGCTCAAAGCTTAGTTGGTCTCACTAATAAGTACATGACCTTAGGTAGTTTACTTTAAGACTCAGTTTCTTCATTTGTAAAATGGGAGAGGGTGCTAATAACAATACCTTCTTCACAAAGAACTAAATGACTTGGAACATGTAAAATGTCATGGATATTGGTGTCAATAACTGTTAGTTATTATCATTTTGCTTTTCTCCCCAAGAAATCCTTCTAGGACTCTAAGGCTTCCCAGCCCTTGTCTCAGAAGCAATCATCTTCATAAAATCCTGCAGGTACCACTCACCTAGGTTAACGCTGGGGCTCACTCAGAAGCCATTTCTCCCAAAGCTCATCTTAATTTTCTCAGTCTCCCATTGGTTTTCAGGGTGAAAAAATCCCTGAGCCTAGTGCTCAGTTTCCCTTCAACTGCAAACCTCTGTAGGATCCTGTACTCAGTCTGTCCCAAGCTCTCACAGCTCCTCCCCCGTGGGCTCACCCCATTTCCCACCCATCTATTTCTTCCATCTCTGTGTTTTTATCATGCCGTTTCCCTCACGGGTTCCTGCTTGTCTTGCTGACTGTTCTAGCAGCAGAAATCATTTGCTCCCACGGTTAGATGAATGATGGCTCCTACTGCCACTCCTACAAATGCTGCGCCTTCTCGTACTGCTGCCACTACCACCAGCTAGTGCTTACTGAGTGTTTATGTTCTACTGTCAGATTGTGCTGTGCACTTTACATGACAGCCCATTGGACTACGAGTCCAGTCTTACAGATGAAGAAACTTGGGTTTTAGACTTGCTCAGGATCACAGAGCTGGCAGGTGGCAGGGCCTGGATCCATGCCCAGGTCTATCTGACCCCACAGCCTACATTCAGAGGACTGGCAATGGTGCTGAGTTGGTGCTACTTGGCACTGAGTCCCTAAGAGTGAAGCTCAAATTGCTTCCGTTACTCAGATTAGCTCTAGGATGTGACATCCCACCAACAGCTTGATCTTGATTTTGGCAAAGCTTGTTCCATTGCTAGAAAGCTCCAATTCACAGAATTGGCTCCCTGACATTAAGCTGAAATAGGTGTTTCTTATGCTCATTGACCTTGGTCTTGATCTCTGGCCCCACCTACAGAAAATCAAATTCCTCTTCAGAAGCTTAAGGCAATCACCCCATCAGGCATGCTTAGAGACTTACTAAGTCTCAGTTTCTATCACTATAGCCCATTGAGCTGGGCTGTCAGTACAACCCATTCCTTAAAGATGAGAAAACCAAAGCTCAAGAGTCTAAGTAACATATGTGGAGATAGAATCAGTAGGTGGCATAGGAGAGATTCGAATATGGGTCTGTAAGACTGAAAACGTCAGTATTTTTTTGATACAGGATCTCCCTGTAGCACTGGCTGGCCTAGAATTCACAATGTAGACCCAGCTGGTCTCCATCTCACAGAGATCCACCTGCTTCCGCCTTCCAAGTGCTGTGATTAAAGGCATGCACCACCATGCCCAGCAAAAAAAACAAAAACAAAAACAAAAAAACTTATATTTTTAATTATCATATCCTTATGCCTTCATAATCTTTTAGTATTTTATTTATTATTTTTACTTTATATGTATGCATGTATTGCCTGCATGTAAGTGCACCCATGTCATGCAATGCCAGCGGAAGACAGAAGAGAGCATCAGATCCCCTGAAACTGGAGTTACAGACAGTTGTTAGCTGCCATGTGGGTGCTGGGATTCAAATCTGGGTCTTCTGTAAGAACAACCAGTATTCTTAACAGTTGAGCCATCTCTCCAGTTCCCTGATGCCTTCATATTAAAGTCCCACTAAACTCTCTCTCCATCAGCTATATATCCCCAATTCCTTTGAATTATATCATCCCATGATATGTTCTGTGTCTTTTTGTCTTCATTCCATCCTGGTCTCTTTCTGATAGGCCAATGACCCTCTTAAGACTAGAATGGACATTGTCCCAGATTTGGCCTATTCATGACATTTGAATAGTGCTCTTTTTCTAGACTCAATACCCTTCAGATAAGAGAAAATGAGGCCGGGAAGCATGGCTTGCTCTTGGCAACCCATGCTAGAACCTGTCACTACCACGTGAGTGGTAGGTCCTATTGTGCCTTTGCCTGTGACCATCCATGAGCCAAGACCACACCAGATGTCATCAGTGTTTATAAGCCTGGCTGCCTGCATAATCCGGTCTCTCATAACTTTAGCCAGTTTTATAATATGGAGCGAAGACAATTTTGGTGAATCAGGGTATCCCAAAAAAGTATTACCAAAAGAAGACCATAGAAAAGTAACATGAAGGACTACAGGACTGGAGAAAATGGAATACTAGCCCAGCAGGACCTCTTCCCCCATGTAACTACATATGTGTTCACAGCACTGACAAACAGTGCCTGAAGTCACAATTTTAGCCAAGGTAGAAAAATTCTAGCTTAGTTCACAACACTGATGTCTCCTTTAAAAGATGGGGTAGAACACTTGACCCAAGTGTCTTGAGCTAATTTCCTTGAGCCAAAAGCCTGAGTATGGACAGGATTTGAGTGATTCAGAGCATGCATAAACCCTCTCCTAGGCAAATGACTCTTTCCGCTGCTGGTGCCAACCCAACCCTGTATGCTGCTTTGGCATGCACACTAGGACATTTGTCCTCAGTTGGAGGTGATTCTCACCCCCCAACCCTCATGGACTTACCCCTGGCAGGGTCTTCTGTTCGTGTAGTGCACTCTGAGCCTTAAGAGCAGAGTCCCGGGCGCAGTAGGTAAGGAAGGCACAGCCTGAGGAGGAAGAAGGCTAGCTCAGGGAATTTCCTGAAACCCCCAAACATTCTTGGAAAGGCCCAAGTAAATTGACGAACTTAGGATCATTCTCCCTTAAACAAGAACACTGTTCTGGGAAGCTTTCTCTGCCTCCCACTTTCTCTGATGGGAGCATCTTGACATGCCTATGTCCCAGGCTCATTATCTCCTGGCCTTCTGTCCAGGAAACATATGTATCCACACCCAGTCACATGTTCATACAATCCCATAGCTCCCCACCCCACTCCATCCATAAATCCTGTCAGGATTAAACCTCCCTGAGCAGCTTTGCCCAGACTCCCTCATCTATTTTTGATATAGACTCATGGAGCCTCCAAGAATCAGCCTTAGTTTCTTCTCAACTCAGTTTCAAGTGACAGGAGAAAGAAGATGAGGATTGAAGGCCAGCTCCTTCCCAACACTTTCTAAGTTTGAAGTTGGGGGATGGATTGATTTGAGGTTTGGGAGATGGTTCAGGTTTAAGGGCCTCCTGTAAATCATTCCATCCAATGACCTTGACTGTTAAGATATGGCCTCTAAAAGGGATACTTGTAACACAACTTGGACTCATCTACAAGGATCAACAGGTATGGGGCAGGGAAGGAGTCTGGGTTGAGCTAGAGTCAGGCCTTTTACCACTCTGTGTTCCAATTTGAAATCTGTAGGCAGCTAGGAAACACTGAAGTAGGCATCTCTTCCTTCCCAACATTCACTGAGCATTCATTCATTCAGAAAATATCTAAAACTTACTTATTATGGAAGAGCATTATGGTGTGCTGGAGATGGAGAGGAGCTCAAGGAAATTAGATGTCATGAGGGACACCTAAGTCCAAAGGGTTGAGGAATGTCTCCAAGAAGAGCTTGAGGGCTGGGAATATAAATCAATCATAGAGTGCTTGCCTAGCATGCATGAGGCCCTAGGTTCAATCTACAGTAATTATAATAATAATAATAATAATAATTTGAGTCCTCAAAAATATTGACTTCTTTAAAACCAGGTGAAGAGAATGGTTGTGATTATTTCAGACAGAGGGAATAACACATGAAGACTGAGTCCAAAATGTGGTATTTTGAGGAAAATGATACAAGGCTAGTGTGGGTGGAGGCTTGTGAATGCTGGCAGAGTGGCTAGTGAGAGATGCAGGAATTGGGTTACATACAAACTTAGAGGCCTCAATTGATTTTGAACTTTTTCCTAAGAGCAATGGAGAGCCTGTAAAGGATTTGAACTATGGTTGTGACATGATAAGATCGGCATTTTCGAAAAAGAGCCTTTGGAGCATAGGAAGAAAAACTGAAGGAAAAGCAAGTGGGTATGGGAAGCCATTAAGAGTTGGTGTAGTTTTCCACTTAGACTTCATCAGACTAGAAAAGCAAATGGGAACTTTTTTTCTGGTGTCTTCTATGGAACTGCCTCCTTAACATGGGTGGGTTATCTACTATCTATTGAGATCATCTGGATAAACTCATATCAATCTGGTTAACTGAAGCTCAGAGATTGTGTCAGTCACAGGAAAGGGTTTGAGATGTTCTAATTCCCAGACTAGGGTTGTTTTCAAAGAACTGTGGTTGCCTCCAGAGACACCCAGCCATCAAAAGGAATATGAGTCACTCTAGCATTCAGACATCATAGTTGCTGGGGAGAGAGCAAGGATTGATGTTGACTTGGAGACCCTCCATATCTTGAACGACAACACTTTCCTTGGAGAGGTGTAGATTGTTTGGGGAATAAATCACCAAATCCCAGGTTTCACTTATATCACTGTTGTTTTTTTATCACTAAGCTGTAACATCTGACCACACACAAGGCGAGGGTGGGGGCTTTCTCAAAGGCTCAGGAGCCTAGATTCTACTTAAAGAAACCCAGGTGGACTGCCTGGCTTAGAGAGTGGAAGGATGGAAGGATGGAAATATAGAGAAGCATGGCTTAAGGGATGGATGAGTGGGAGGAAAATCAGAAAGAATTAGAACTAAATGAGAAAGAAAGAGAAGATGAGTAAACAATTCAGAGACTCTAGGTGTTTGGGTGTTTGATGAGAATTAAAGGTACTCTACATGTTTCCTTTATTGTACAGATAGCCTGTGAAGATTAGCTTTATACTTACACACTGAAATAAGTGTCTTGAAGATATAAGTGGATGGACAGGAAGACAGGCAGGTAGTTGGACTGTGTTATAAGGAATTCGTATGATGTGAACTTGTCCTCATGGCCCCTTAATATAACCTCACCCCAAAGGGTGGAAGATACACCCCCTACTCAGATGCTCCAGCTTTTCTATGGGCATTTTACCAAAGCCCCTACCTCATTATGCCAAGGAAAGCCCCTGGGCCTCCCATTTGGAAAGAGGCATCCATCTGATGCCAGCTCAGGCCTTAGGAATGGACCTGTAGCAGCTACCCAAGGCCTGCCACTCCTCTCTTAGAAAGATCATGGAGATAGCCTGTAACCCTTCCACCAAAATCCTGATGCCACAGCATAGTGGTGGCATGAGGATATAAGAATTTTTCTCCTCAAATTATTATTATATGATTCTGGCTCTTATTCTAGCCCAGCCTGGATAGACTTTTCTGCATGTAAACAAGTCTCCTCCCTTCTCTACAGGAAGAAAGGGGTGTGGCTGGTAGCTGGACAAGACCATGGTGCCTCTGTCTTCCTAGGAAGGGCATTGAGAAGACACCCCCCACCCCCCAGACACACACGCTCTTCTTCACCAGCCTAACCCACCCTGAGAGTGCTCTGACCTAGGATCAGCCTGTGAAGAAAAGAAAGCAGGAGGCCACCAAGAGGATTGGGAAGGGGAAAAGTAGCACAGAAGGGAGGAGGATTAGAGATTTAAAAGTGTGGATTCACCTAAGGGGATACCTAAGATGAAGAGGACACAGGCAGGTGGAAGTTCCCAGGTGAGGTTAGGGATTCTGGACTCAAATCAGAAGTGCTAAAGAGTATTGGCTTCTGGCGGAGCATATGAGATATTGGGGTTATTGTCAAGCATGAGGGGGGCATTTTGTTCTGAGAGTCTCCTGGCAGGTGGATTGGATTGTGTGTATTAGACAAGTCTGGATTCTGAAGGAGAGGAGAGTTGGTATGGAGTGTTTAAGACTGGCAGACCCGGAGTCAAATGAAGGTTCTGGGGGTTGCCTGGAATTGGAGGCCAAAAGGAGGGGTGCAAATCCAAGGTGTGTGTGAGCAGTTAGGCCTGAGTGGGGTAGCACCAGACAGAGAACACAGGAAATGCATGAAGCTAGGGGTCAGGAGATAGGGTGTTAAAGAGATGGAAGATAGAGTAAGTTTCCAAATTCCAGGGTTTGGGGTGTCTGATGGGAGGGATGGTGGGGAGGTCTAGCTGGGAAGTGAGGATGGTTGGGAGCTGATGGAAAGGGGTTTGGAGGTTAGAGTGAAGAACATCTTAGGGAACCAGAGTGATAACCAGGAGAGTGTCACAGAAAATTCTGGGTTCAGGTCTCTGGGATCTGGAGAGAGGACTGAGCTGAGGTGGGGCAGGTAATGAACTGGAGTCGAGCTGGCTCTAGGTAGGGGTAGGGTTGGGGCTGCGGTTGGGGCCAGGGTTGGGCTGGGCTGCACTCTAATTGGATTGGGACTGGGCTGGGCTGGGCTGACCCCCGCGCACCTTTGTGGAGGCCGGTGAGCCGGTCCTTCAGCACCGTCAGCTCGTAGATGCGGCCGAACTCCTCGAACAGTGGCTTGAGGTCCTGCTCGTCCAAACCCCGCGGGATCTGCCCCACGAAGAGCTTGATGGCGTCGTGGTCCTTCATGGGCACGGGACCTGGGTTCAGCCCGCTCATGCCGACGCCGCTGTCCGCGGTGCTGAAAGCCAGGCGTGGGCCGGGGCCGGCGGGCGGCGCAGACCCTCCTGGCGCCGCGGCCATGTCCCCGCCCAGTCCGCCCTCCC